ATTATAATTACCAAATATGTAGTGCACATAGTTGCATGTACTACTATACTTTTAAATATGACTCAGTTCAGTAGGTTAGCACCATCACAAAAAGAGTAATGCATTGTGCTATGGCATGATGACGTCATCACGGGATGATAGGAATGTTTCAGCTCCCTTAACCTATGGGACCATGGTATATGCAGTCTGTTGACTGAAACGTCAAGTGGCACGATTGTACTAGCTTAATGAGCAAAGAGGGAAGGTAAGCATCAGCTAGGGTGTGGGGTTTTCATTTGAAATTGTCCCAGAAAAATTTAAGCTGAGGTCTACAAATACATAACAGCCTATTAAAGATAGTGGTCTGGACTATGGAAATAGAGAGTTAAGTTTAAAATCTAAGGCTACCTTCCAGCCAGTACTTTACCAAAGAGCCAGTTGCTCCCTGACTCATGGACTTGGCCGTGGAGATCCCAAGTTTAAATGCTGTGAAAGTTCCAAGAACTGGTTTTGAGAAAACTGTAGAGCCTCATCTGTGCTAAGGGTCTACTTTTTTATTAAACTACTTGATCCTGTTAAAGACGATGCTTGTGGCTGGGTTTGTCTTATATTTTTTAGGCTGAATGTTGTCCATCTTTGTCTCCACAATGTTTATATTCCACAGACTCAAAGTCTTTTCAGTTAAGACTGGGAAGAGGTGGGAAACAACTGTCAGATTGCACTATCTTAGTTTACTTTTGTGCTTGGAAAAGAGGAAGAATCTCTATTTAAAGGCATATTGTGTCTCAGACAAAGTTCTAGGTGCTTAGGGTTAGTAAGCAAAACAGTTAAATGCTCTGCAAGGCTTACTAGTTAACATAAATTCTCAACTTTCTTCAGAAAATTGCCTGAGTTTACTAGCCTAGAGTTGGGAATTGAATGCAGGGTGTGTCTCCAACTCCAAACTAGCACATGGCCACCTAGTGGAAGCTACCATACTCTTGCCTGGACTGGTAACAAAATAGCTTTCTCAGGAGCCTCCTTAATACCACTGTTGCATTATTCCATTTCATTCTTAGTAGCTGCAGTAAGCTTTTAACAACAAACTGGGTTTTAACTCAGTTTGATAGCCTTTGGTGGACAAATTGCCAAACATATTGTGATCTATCCATACTATTACCGTGTTTCCCTAAAAAAAAAAAGACAGGGTCTTGTGTTTATTTTTCCTCAAGAAGACACCCTAGGACTTATTTTCAGGGGATGTGTTATTTTTTTTAAGTACAGTATATCAATCTACATTTATTCGAATATAGTTAAGTTGTCTTCTTCTGGAACATCATCATAACTCTCCAAACCCAGAATTCCATTGTGAATTTCTTGCAACTCTATTTCCTTTAGAACCACTGGCCCCAATCTCTAATGTCGAGCAATAGAGCTCTCATGGGGCAGATTCTTCGCTCTGTGAAGAAATGCATGGGTTGTGCAGATACGCTGCATAGCCACACCCAGCACTAGGTCTTATTTTCTGGGTAGGCCTTATATTGCGCAAATGCTTAGAAATCCTGCTAGGGCTTATTTTATGGGTAGGTCTTATTTTCGGGGAAACACGGTAAATACTAAGCAATAAAAAGGAAACTACTGGTGAATGCAACAACTATGAATCTCAAAAACATGCTAAGTCAGACACAAAGGAGCACATACCACATGGTTCCATTGATGTGAAATTGGGAAGAAAGTAGCACTAGCAGTTTAGTAGTTGCTTGGGATCAGTGATTGGGGTGGGGAGATTACCTGAGAAGAGGTAGTGTTTGTACATAGATAAATACACTTTTCAAGACTTTGAACTGCACACTTAAAATGGACACTACAAAATTGTATATAAGTCATACCTTAAAAGCCACTGATGGCTACTCATTTCCCTATGAGGGCCTGCCCATAAGATATGATGACAAAAATTACCTGTTTTTGCCCTCATCTCTTGCCACTCTGCCTAGCTAACCCTGCAGTCACCTAGCTTTTTCCCACTGTAGGTACTTGACATCATTTACCTGGAATGCTCCTTCACTAGACTGGCTGTCTCCTGTCTTTGGGTCTTTGCTTAAGTGTCACCAAGAGGCCTGACTGAGACCTCTCTCCTGCTGCTTATCATCTCATCCCACTGGTTTCTCTCAAGCACTGTAACAAGCTAGCATTCATCTCTTGGCTTGCTTACTGCCCCTCTCCCCTAGTAGAAGCAAAGTGCTTTCATAGTGAGGGCATGATAACACAGTAGGATCTCAATAAACAGTGATTGAATGAGTTGGTAAGAAGTGACTACCAAATTAGTGGCACATTAAATGTTAGACATGTCAAATCCGGATAGAACCCATTTAAGATTCATGCATATGGTAAATAAGTCATATTGGCAAAGAGGTAAATAGCTAGGTTTGGGGGTGTGAATGGTGGGGAAAAGGAATAATGTATAAAATCAGTGGATTTGGAGTCAAAAGACAAATTCTGGTTAAACATCTCTTCAACTGTAAGTTGAGAGTGATTGTGCCTCCCTTCTTCATGAAATTGTGAAGAAAAAAATGTGAAAATAACTCCAAAACCATAATTATGATGATTATTAGTTAACTGCCAAAATGTTTGTAGCCTTAATTATGTGCCAGACTCTGAATGATCTCATTCAGTGCTCACAACAACCCTGTGAGAGTTGGTACTGTTCTTAGCCATCCATATTTTGTAGATGAGGAAGCAGAATCTCAGACTGTCGCTTGCTGGAATTTATAAATCAATGTTGGAGGCAATATTCGAATCCAGGGCCTTAGAACTGTTTTCTTTTCTTTTTTTTTTTTTTTTGAGACAGATTCTCACTTTGTCGCCCAGGCTAGATCAAACTCCTGGGCTCAAGCAATCCTGCTGCCTCAGCCTCCCGAGTAGCTGGGACTACAGGCATGTGCCACCATGCCCGGCTAATTTTTTCTATATATATTAGTTGGCCAATTAATTTCTTTCTATTTATAGTAGAGACGGGGTCTCACTCTTGCTCAGGCTGGTTTCAAACTCCTGACCTCGAGCAGTCCACCCACCTCGGCCTCCCAGAATGCTAGGATTACAGGCGTGAGCCACCGCACCTGGCCAGAACTGTTTTCTTGACTGGAATTTATGGTCAGTCTTCTTTGTATGATAGGTCAGATCAACAAATTGTACTTTAAGCATTGAAAAAGATTGCAAGCATTTTAGATAGGACATAGGTAGTTACATACTCATTTTATTGCCAAATAATAGAAAATAGTAAGTATAGAAGAAAACTGGAAGTATGATTCTTAGTCTCTTAGAGAGACTTCAAACACTTTTTAGCAGGTGGTAAGACAAACCACCTCTTGACTGGGTCTTAGAGGTCTTTCTGTAAAGCAAGATCAAAGGTGGTGGCAATGACTCAGGTTCCAGTGGGAGCATTTCTGTCCATTTCTATTTGAGGTTGGTAATTGCTTCCTATGGTGGGATTAGTTCATTTTCTCCAGAACTTGCGGAGTTACCAGTAACTTTGCAAGACTAGTTCTGGCAATCAGAATGTCTACGTAAATTCAGCCCAGCAGCTTCATGCAAGAACTTTCCCCATCACTCAGCACCTGGTTTTGAAAAGGTTTTCTGCACTTGTGTCCAATGCTGAAACAGAAGCTATCTGTTTAAAATAGCCTCAGCTTTGAAAGGGAACTTAAAATAGCTTGCAAAAGAGTCCTGATATTTGGAACAATTGCTGATGTTTTATATCCTATGACTTCAGGAAACAGCACTGTTAGACAGCACCTACCTCAATTTATGATGACCTAGTGAAATGGGAGTATCAAACCCACTCCATGCACGGAGGCTTTTAACCAAATAGTCCGGATTCCTGGGTTTTGCTTTTTGAGCTTGTTCTCCAGTGCCTTTCTCACTGTAACCTGTGTCCCTGAGTATCAGGCCAAAGCAGAGCTTAGCTAATGTGGGCTCTAGCCAGAACGAGGCAGGTGCCTGACAAGGACACGTATTTTGGGGTTGGCGGGAAGGACAGGAGTTATGCCTCTGGAAGGGGCAGAGGCAGTAAGAACTAGTGTCCTGAGAGGAGTCCCGGTGAAAGGAACCAGGCTGCTTAGTTTGCAAACAGAGGCAAATTTTAGCTCGGTTTTGGGAGGAGGACAGAAGAGGGTCTACAGTGGTCGCTGACCAGAGTCCTGCTGGCTACTACCCACACTGTAGCCCGCCGCGCTGGGGTTGCAGTGACGCCTCGCGCCGCTAGGTGGTAGCCGTGTGTTTTCAAAGCAGCATCGCCTACCGGAAAGCCCAGCCGGGATCCCAAGAACCTACCCAGAGCCCCTCGGGTGGGAGGGAGGGACGCCCCGGAGGCCCCCTCCCAAGCGGCAGGGACGGAAGAAGACCAAGGGGGTTCACTTAGAGTGGACAGCCCGCCAGGAGGTGGCTAGAAAGGCCACGATCTTGCGTGGACCCAGGGCGGGTAAGAGCGACCCCCCTCCGGCAGAGGCGCCCCGAGGGCTGGGCCCGACCGCCCTTCCCTTTCCCACTCAGTGCTGGTGGGTGCGAGTGAGTGCGAGTAGCGAACGTGCGCGGGCGAGGACGCTCCGCATCGAACTGCGTCCTTGGGCACCGCCGCCTGCCCAGTTCGAGCAACGTTTGCGCCGCGGCGCGGGTCACTGCGCCCGGGCGCAGAGCTCCGACGGCTTCCAGCGCTCACCAGCTCCTGCCTCGCGGTTCTGCCCTTCGGGGCGGCCGGTCCCGTCGCTGCGAGTCTGAGCGCCTCCCCTCCAACCCGGAGCCGCCAGGAGAAGGAGGAGGAGGCGGCGAGAGGCCGCGGCAGGCAGGCGAGCAGGCAGGGCCGCCTTTGATGTGGGCGCGGCGCACCCAGGCGAGCTGAGCGCCCGTCCGGCCGCGCCCCGAGGGGGGAGCCCCCGGGCCCCGCATCCTCATTGTGCCGGCTCGGGCCCGGGCCCGCCCCCGGCCCCCCGCCCCCTCGCCGCCCGCGCGTAGAAAACGCCCCGGCCGCCGCCAGTGGTGGGAGGCGGCGATGCGCACGGCCGGAGAGACGCGGAGGAGGAGACATGAGCCGGCGGGCGCCCAGACGGAGCGGCCGTGACGTGTTCGCGCTGCAGCCGCTCGCCCCAGCCCCGGAGCGCTGACCCCTGGCCCCGCGCAGCCCCGCGCCCTGGCCAGACAGCGCAGCCCAGCTTCCAGCCACGCTGCGCATGCTGCCCCCGGAGCGAGCCAGATAGCCAGCCTCCCGCGGACGCCCGGACGGCCGTCCGGCCAGCAGTGAACAAGCTTCCCCGCACCGGCCGGGCGCCTGCTGCACAGCGGCTGCCGCCCCGCAGCCCCTGCGCCAGCCCGGAGGGCGCAGCGCTCGGGAGGAGCCGCGCGGGGCGCTGATGCCGCAGGGCGCGCCGCGGAGCGCCCCGGAGCAGCAGAGTCTGCAGCAGCAGCCGGCGAGGAGGGAGCAGCAGCAGCGGCGGCGGCGGCGGCGGCGGCGGCGGAGGCGCCCGGTCCCGGCCGCGCGGAGCGGACATGTGCAGGCTGGGCTAGGAGCCGCCGCCTCCCTCCCCGCCCAGCGATGTATTCAGCGCCCTCCGCCTGCACTTGCCTGTAAGCGCCCGCGCGCGGGGCTGCCACCCTGCCTGGCCGTCTGTCCGTGTGCCTGTGGCTCTGTCTGCCCGCCCGTCTGTTCGCCTGACTTTGCGACTGCGTGTCTGTCTGTCTGTCCGCGCTCCCCTCTCCCTCAAGTCCCACTGACCGGCTCTCCATCTCTTTCCCGCAGGTGTTTACACTTCCTGCTGCTGTGCTTCCAGGTACAGGTACGTGGGCTCCTGACTCTGACCTCCCCGCCCCTGCCTCCCGGTACATGCCGACCCCCCTTCCCGGGCCGCGCCCCCTCCCTGTGCCCCACCCCTCCTGGGCGCCGAGCCCAGTGCACCTGTTCCCAGGGCGCGGAAGGGCGGCTCCGTGCGCGCCTTGCGCCGACAGGGGACCGGCCAAGGCAAGGGGCTCTGCCGCGGGGCCCAAGCCGGCGCGGGCTGTCGCGGCCCCTGTCGGCGCCCAGAGCCCGCGGGCTCAGCCGCAGCAACGTGCCGGGCTCCAAGCCCCCTGCCCGCGGCCAGCGAGGAGTGGGACCTAGGGGTCATCTCTGCCAACCGTCCCTTAACATCGCCGCTTGCTCTTCCAAACAAAAAGGCTCCTTTCAGAGAGTGGATTTCGAGTCCAGGGAGAAAGCTCCAGTTGTAAACTACTCTGTGGTTTCAAAGGCGTTCGCAGCATTGAGAGACAGACTGAGACACGCGCGCGCGGGACGCGGGGGACGCGGGCGCCTAGGCCGAGGGCGGCTGCCGCGAGGCCGCTCCGGGACGGGCCGCGCTCCGCACGCCCTCGCCCAAGGTGGTGCAGCCTCGGCGGGTTCCCAGCCTGCTCCGCGTTCGCTCGCTCTCCGTGCATCAGAAGAGGGCTTGGCGCGCAGCCTGGAAAGCACTTGCTAAAATCTGATCTGTTACTTCAGCAGCTTTCAGACTCGGGAAGGTCTTGGCACGCAGACAGTTGGAACGCTCTGGCTTCCAAAGCCGTAGAAATGAAGGAAAAAGGGGGGTGGGAGGGAGAGCGAAGAGGGAAAAAGGGAGCCGACTTCAGCCCCGATTAGAACCAGACCAGGGCTGCCTCAGCATGGGGGGGGGCATGGGCAAAGGGAATAGGAAGCCCAGCTGCCCAAGCCCCCCACCCACCTAGAGCTGCAAGGGAGGGACCTAGGTGGAGCTGGACACCAGCCAAAACGGGGTTATCCGACCCTTCCCCTTCTCGGTTGAAGGCAGGTGTCCTTACAGGGCTAGTTAGATCAGATGCTTAGACCTTAGCCTTCGGGTTCTGGAGATGCCCAGAGAGAGCCTTGGGGGGGGAAATGGGGGTTCTCCCAGTTTCCCCCCCCCCCACAAGGAGTGCTGTATGCCTTGCATTGAGCGCTGGGAGTCAGCAGCCTCTTGCAGTGTTTGGTGGCCGCGGCTGCTTATCTTCCTTCCTCGCTGGGGAGAGGCTTGCTACCTTCATGGTTACCAGGGAGCTGGGGGCAGCCAGCGGGCTGGGGGCTGGAAGGATGGATGGACAGACAGACTGATGGGGTTCTTTCCTCCTGTTGGCCGGGCTGGGGTCCCCAGTGACTGCTTGAATCAATACAACTGGAGTCAGTAACTTAAGACTGGCTGTGTGCCAAAGCAGATGTGACCCTGTGTGGTGATGGGGGTGGGGTGTGGAGTGGCTGGTGTCGGAGAGGGAGGCTAGTGCCAGGCATGGCCTGCCTGGTCTGCAGCTGAGTCCCCAAGCAGAGGGCAGGCCCCAGGGTCGCTGCAGGGGTCTGCTCCTGTGACCTGGGCAAGGGCTGCTTTCCACAGTGCGGCGCCCGGGGCGGGGTGCTGAGCTGGGCATGGAGGCAGAGGGGAGGTCTGCGGCCGCGTTGCCCAAGCTTCTGGATGCCTGCTGCTCTTGGTTCTTTTCGAAGTGGGGCCCAGGAGGGGTTGCTGTGTGGTCTTTGTGTTCTCTGGGGGAGTTGGAGGGAGGGAGTCTGGACCGTGCATCCCCCCTCCACCTCCTGGCCAGAGCTCGAGCCAGCATCTTAGGAAAGAGCTGGGTGGTCTGCCTGGGTTAGGTCAAGAGGCAGCCGTCAAGCAGGTGAGGGAACCTCCCCTTCCCCCCCTTCCTTTGCCCCTTTGTCCTCCCCAGCCTTTCCACACCCAACCTCCATGCACCCTTCAGGTATCTAAGGAGAAGATTACTGGGGGGGGTCCCTGAAACACTGCATGAAAATGGTACCCAAATGTGCTCTGTCTCCTGGAAGGGGGTTCTCAGCTCCCTGCGGATTTTCAAAAGCACCTATAATCCTTAAAGAAATGCTATCCTAGGGACTTATGGCAGACTCCTGTCCCTGTTCACACTCCAGGGACAAAGGTGGAGTGGCCTTGGTAGAGATGAGGGGTGGGAGCCGTACGATGTGAGCTGCCAGGAGCTGGAGTCTGCTCCCTGCTTAGGCGGTGCCAGGCAGCTGCCGGAGCCGCTGCATCCGGGCACCTGCTGGCCGCAGTTAGACCGCCTTTGGTGTGCAGGGGCCAGGGAGGCCTCCCTGCATGGCCACGAGGGCTCAGGGCTTTGCCAGCCGGTGGACCGGACCTGAACCCTAGCTCCATCTTCCCCTATCTGTGGGTCCCCGAGAGTTGTAGTTTCATCATTTGCGAAATGGGTGGTCATGAGGTTGCACTGATACAGGATGGGAGGGAAGAAGTTTTGCAAATTCTCATCCCCTGGGAAGGCACCTTGCTCTGCTGGGAAACGGATGCACCCGTGCCCTTTCCTCCCCGCCTCAGTGTGTTCGGGTCTGGTCCAGTCTGAGCAGTGCAGTTTCTGGGCTCCTCCCCTCCGCATGTCCCCCAGCTACCAGGCCCAGAATGGGTCCCCGCCCCCAGCCACGTTTCCATGAGCACATTCAATGCCAGACACTGTCCCCCCCCCAATGTGGTGAGCCCCGCCCTCGCCCGCCAGCCACCCCGGGAAGCGGGAAGCTGGGAATTTAATAAAATCCCTTCATCCCTTCTCCACACGACTCGGGACACCGCAGATAGCTCAAATCGGAAGAATTTTAAAAATTTCCGCGGGGAGCAGGCGGCGTGACCAGTAAATTGCTTTTCTGCACTTGGCTGAGCTCTGACAATGACACCGGGCTGGGCCTTTCACGCAGCTCGGCTGGCACCTGCCTGACATTGTTCCTGCCGCCAGGCTCGGCTAGGTCCCGGCCTTCCCCAGACAGGCCAGGAGAGAGGCGGGCCAGGCCTGGGGGGGCTTCCTCTGGCCTCTTGTCCCTCCTGCCAGCCCCTGGTCCCTCCCACAGTGCCACTTCCTCTCTCACCCCGCGAGGTGTTGGAGTTTGGAAGTGTCCTTCCACGGCCCCTCTCAGCCTGACCACCCCGACCCCTGGCCCCTCAGGGGGGTTTACACCCTTTCCTCAAGCTGGCTGGGATGGGAAAGCCGCAAACAGTGTCCTTTGGGATGAGAGGAGGGTGGCGGCTCTCTTAGTGGATGGCACTTTAATTCTTAAAGCAACGGTTTCCGTCTGTCCGCGCAGACAGGCACTACTCATTCAGCCCAGCCTTGCCGGGAGCCTGCTTCCTGCTGCCTCGGGATAAGCCGGCCGGCCCTGGCCTCAGGAGCTCCCACGTCAGAGGGGAAAGTGCCGGCCCCACAGGGGCTTGTTCACTCTGTCCTCCTGTCCCAGCGCTGCGGGCTATGGTGAGGCGGGCGCATCTTCCTCCCGGGGACAGGAGGGGACCAGCGCAGAGGAGCAGCGGCTTGCCTGAGGGCAAAAGGCCCCACCTGTGGGACTGTCCAAGTGTCCCGTGCATCCGAAAGCTGGCCTCAGTCTTCCAGCCATTCTACTGGGGGGCTGAGTTAGGAAGGGGGCACATTCCTGTTTCACAGATGGAGAAACCGAGGCACAGAGTGGGGAAGGGATTTGTTCAGAGCCATAGCTAAGCCCCAAGACTCTGGATTCAATGTTCTTTCTACCACACCAAGCTGACTTTTCTAGAAAGAACCCTGAAATTGTTCAGGAAGATACTGGCGGGGAAACAGAGTCCCAAGAGGCAGGCTGGAGGTCCACGTCAGGCCCTGTTTGGGTTCTGGGGGGTGTTCAGACCCGGGCAGGGTCTCTGGGGCTGAGGGCGTCTGACTCGGAGTCTGCAGCCCTGACCCTCCGGAGTGTGCTGATCAGAGAGGGTCCCGGACTCGAGGTGAGTGTCTGGGGGTGGGGCCGGGATGCAGCGCTCCCCTCCCAGTGGAGGAGGAGGGGCGGCGCCCGCCAGCATTCCTGCAGCCCGGGAGTGTCACCCGCTCTGAGATAAGGAGGTGGATTTTTAGCATTTCTGGTGGTTGGCACGGCCAGTGTCAGCGGGCCGGGGCGGCACGTCAGGGTCACAGGCGCTGCCTCCACCCTGCCCCGGGCAGTTCCGAGGGGCCCCCGGGCCCCCGGAGGGAAACTGGAGGGGGACGGGAGGAAGTCTCGGGTGTGGAAAATTGGGGCGCAGGCTCATCAGGCCAACAGCAGCACCACTGGCGGTGGCCGCGAGGTGCTGGGCTCACTACGCATGCCACCCAGGTCAAGCCCCGCGTGCAGGCTGGAGTGAGGGACCCTGCAGAGGAGGGAAGGGAGGCTCGGGCGTGAAGTCACCTGCCTTTAGTCACCTGGTGAGAGAGAGAGGCAGAGCTGCCCTCAGCCGTGGGCCTGCCCGGCTCTAGCGCCCCGGCTCTGCTGTGAGAGCTCTGGAGCTGGCCAGCCTGCTTCACGCCGTAGCTCTGCCTTCTCTATGCTGTGTGATTTTGGGCAAGTTACTTAACCTCCCTGGGTCTCAGCTTCTGCATGTGTAAAATGGGAAACAAACAACCGAGGGAATAGTCTCTGCTGCTTAAGGGGAAGGGCGAGGGGCCGTGCATGGCAAGAACTCTTGTTTGAAGTCCGGACCCGGCTCCTGTGTCTCCTGCTCCGGGAGGGTCCCCCGTCCCTTCCCCTGTCAGGTGGAGTGAGTCCTCCTTCCCAAGGGCTCTGCCTCAGAGCAGAGAGACGCCTGGGATCCCTGGTTCCAGTCCTGGCTCTGTCACTGACTCATTGCACCACCCCCCTCTCTGAGCCTTGGTTCACCCACCTGGGTGTCTACACGGCGAGGAAGGTGGCTTCTGTAGTACTTGAATGTGTAGGCTTGGGTGTAGGAGAAACCTGGGTTTGAATCCCGGCTGTGCTGCATAGCAGCCATTCAGTAAATATTCCCTAGCCTTC